CAATCTGAGTTCAAGTTGGGCTTTTGCCTTCCTAACTTCCTCCCTGCATACCTTAGCTACTCCCTTGTAATTTCCCCAAGTAGCCTATCCCTTCTTCCAGAGGACATAGACTCCCTTTTTCTCTCTGAGTCTCAACAGTAGTTCCCGGCTCATCCATACCAGACGTCTACCCCTGCGGCTCGCCTTACGGCACTCAGGGACAGCCTGCTCTTGTGCCTCTAAGATTTCCATCTTGAGGAGCGTCCAGGCTTCCTGGACCCCTTTACCCTTAAGAAGCGACTCCCAAGGGACCCGTGCTACAAGCGCCCTGAACAGATCAAAGTCTGCCTCTGGAAGTTCAAGAAAGTAGTTTTGCTGTTCACTCTTTTGACAATTCCAAGAATAGAGAATTCTACAATTCCACGATCGCTCTGCCCAAGATGGTCCCCAACCTTCACTTCTCCCACCAGTCCTTCTCTGTTAGTGAAGACCAGGTCTAGCAGGGCACCACCCCGGTAGGCTCTCCTACCATCTGCATGCATAAGGAAGCTATCTTCCACACACTCTAGAAACCTTCTGGACTGCTTCCTCTGTGCTGTATTATATTTCCAACATATATCAGGGAAGTTGAAGTCTCCCACAAGAACAAGTGATGGTGATTGCATGACTTCCGTGAGCTGCTCATAGAACGCTTTGTCCAACTCTTCATCCTGGTTAGGTGATCTATAACAGACCCCCAACCAAGATGTCGCCCCTACAGGCCTTCCCCCTGATCCTTACCCAAAGACATATGCATGCTGCATTCTAGAGATAACCTTGACACCACTTTACAGCTGTTCTTTCCCAAGGTTTCTAGGGGTTATTTTGCTCTCCTACTTGAACTGAAGGAATCTGTATTGACTTTCCATTTGCTATTTCCAAAAAGTAGCTTTTGTTGTAAGGGTACTAAATTTGAGGATCCTTATGAATAAAATTAATGTGTGTGAAGAAATGGTAACAATCTTCATACTCAAGTTCCCACATTAAACAGATAGTAGCTATTAGTTAATGCCTTTTAATTAATTCAGCTTCCCATGTTGGGCATCCAATGTGATAAGCTGTTGTTTTTATTGTACTAGAGAACCTTTCTGCTCACAGAGGAAACAAGCCACAGAAATTACTCAAACCTTTTCATAACAGCTGACATCATCTCAAAAAAAGATTTCTTTCAATATTTGCATTTATACTCACCTGTCTTCCTAGTATCTTAGTCATGGTTTGACATAGGCATTTATGCTTTAGAGGAAAAATACCCTTACCTCCAGTATCTTTTTCTTTTGACCTTCATTCACTTTTCCAGCCAAGCAGCAATGTGCCAGAGCATTCTGAATTA